TGCATGCGCATTTTTTAAGTGGAGAAGGAGCTTCTTTTCAAAAATTCGCAAAAATCCTCCACTACACCTTTAATTGTTTTTGTGGCTCCTTCCGTAAGCCATGCCGTTGAATCTATAGTTGTATTCTCAAATCTTGGCCTAATAAAACACAAGATATATTTTCACAGAATTATGTGTCAAAAAAAAAGGTGAAATACACCTTTAAATGCTGCATGGTGGCACAGCTGGAAACAAAAGTCAGCAGAAGAAGTTCTAGATGCCGACCAGGGACTTTCTAAATGGAATTTGTGCATTCTCCCTCTTAACAGTGGGTTCTCTCCAGGTACTCCAGATTGTTAGGTTAATTAGTAACTTTAAAATTCCCTTAGCTTTCGTGTTCATGCATTGTATCTCTCTTGGTCTCCCTGTAGGCGACTGCCAACCTGTTCAGGGTAACCTCAGAGAGCCATCATGGCAACATGTGTTAGCAGTCGTTCACTTGTTGACTGTCATCCTAGGTCCCAGGGTGAATTCTTGTATGGAGCTTCAAAGAGAGGCTAACACTATTATCTTGTGCTTCTTCTATTCACCAATAACCGTGGTGTTGTTCATTTTTCTACTTCTCACCAAGCTTGATGCCATTTTAGCATTGTGTAGGCATGCTTTTTTTTTTTCTGATCTGAGAAAGCTTTTTGGTCTCACCAAAGGCAGTGGGGATATTTGATATGACAATAAGATTTTATATACTGTATATATATATATATTATGATCTGATTATAATCTTTATACAAATTTTTTAGACATTTCTGTAGATTTCATGTCTGTTAAAATATTCCTATTTTACATATTCTAGACCATAAATTTCTATGTAAAGTTGTTCACTATGGGATCAAACAAGTATTTCTCACAGCATATCTGATTTGACATCACAATCTCCTGCTGACAATGTTTTAATGCAGAGCCCTTAGCTGAGAAGAAAAGGCCAATGCTAGCATATTGTGTCTTTATTATAATATGTCAAAAACTGAGCTCATAACTGTTAACTGTAGATGCAGATATTCATTCTTGTTAAGACATACAGACAAAGTTATTCTCTTGCTATGTAAACTCAATACTTTACTCCAGCATTCAGTCATCAAATTTTTGTATATATATTTATTTATATAATTCTGACTAATTACAGGGTTTTAGGTTTCCATTCCAGTGTAACATTTTTTGCACACACACGTTTTTCAATGTACTTTGGGACAAACGTTTTTTTTTTTTCCTATTTTTTGTACATGGCTTTAAAGGTAACAGAGCCAGTCTTGCTTTTTGCCTGAAACTTCATAAGAATTTCACTCACCGATAAATTGGCCCCTCTGGGTATTTTTGCTAATTCCTGAAGAGTGTGATATTGTGGGCTGTTGTGGGTCTTGGCCTTTTGTGATTTGTGTTTGAGTATAAGTAGATGCTTTTGATCGCTGCCTGGGCGAATTAAAGCAGATACAGACACATGGGAGTGCAAACGGTAAACTTGAAATTGCAAATTCTTGTGCAATACCAGCAGTTTTGGAAGGGCCCACATTTTTTAAATGTGGGCTCTAGAACTCTTTTTTTCTTTCTTTTTTTATGTTTTCCTCATTCAAAATTTAGCTCCAAAAATATTTGTATTTTGTTAAGAACTGATCAGACTGGCTACATGAAGCAGCAAAGCAAAAACTTTGCACCAACTTTTGCATTTATAAATACTGTTAATCAGTCTGTTGCATGTAAAACCTGGCAACTTCTGTAACAGCTACCTGGGATTGCCTTTAGAAAGTCAACTTTCAGGACTACAATTACTTTGATTTTACTAAAATGTAATGTATAATTTCCCACAATATTGTCCAATAATTCCCCAATTGTGGGACAAAAATAGATTTTCTATTTTTGTCTAACTATTGGATAACCTATTGAGATACTTAAACAATTATTAATGAAGATATTTTTGCTTGCAACAGTGAGTATTTAGGACTCTGTGTTCTTTTTTTCAACAGATTGTTTTCAAGTTATATTGGTTGCTGAAAAAGTTTAATTTAAAATTAAATGTCATTAAAACATTTTTGATTGTAACAGAGGCAAAAGAAAAATACAATAACAATAAAGTGGTTTTAGTTCCACCTTTAACAACTTGCAAGAGTTATATGTGGCCATAGTTTGGATGCTATAGCTGTGTAATGACATCATCACTTTTTTAACAAATCAGCTGCTTTTTCTAGTATGATGAAAAGGTCAAATTCTTCTAGATTTAATGCAGATAAAATCTGTTTTTTTCATGTTTTTAATTTTTGTGTTTGACCCTATATATATTCTGGTTAGTACTCTGTTCTTTGTTGTGGTGTCTCCTCTACTCCACAAGTCGGTATTTCCTCAAGTTGCTGATGCGTCGCTGTACCGATGATGCCAAGAAAAATATGTTTACAGAACATTCATCCTAATTCTGCTTGATGAGCAAAGTAATTCAGACTGTGATCCTGCCAGCTGTCAAATAATGCACAATAGTTCAATCCTGCCATCACTCATGCTGGTCTGCCGGGGGTACAAAAGGACTCCCCCGCTTCCCTCTTGACTTTCCCCACACAGAGATGCGACTAGAGATAGAATTATGCATTTTTCATGAGGCACTGAATCCAAGTGTGCTCGCTCCTTCAGCTCAGTCTGGGCTTATTTTTTGGTATGTCAATACCTCCAGCTTTTTTATGATGTGAATGTTTATCTGTGGAGCAAACAAAATAGAAAAAGAAAAATCTTCAGATTTATCCTCATAATTGCCAGCATGAGTAAAAAAAAAAAAAAAAACTTTTTAGAAGTATTCCTGTTTCAAAAGCTTAACTGCAAAAGTTCATTCTATGCATTTCTTAAACATATTCCAGCATTTACTGTTTTTGCAAAATGCAGATAAAACATCTTGCCATACTGGGTGTGTTTTAGAAAGTGAAATACAAACAGTATAACCCAGAAATTATTTATTTCTTTTTGTTTTTAGGCTACATCTTTCTATAGCTTGTCATTATTTATTTAATACTCTCTCAGCTCAGGCACGATATACCAATATCAAATCTATTGGAGAAAAAAAACTAAACAAACAAACCTCCAAATGCATTTAGAAAATTGTGAAAACTTGAATGTTGTTACTCATTTGCTTTCAAATTTGCAAATATATAAAGTAGAAAGGAAATCAGATTATGTCAGTTTAAATTTAATCCAACTATTACTAGGTGGATGTAACATGGGCTTGAGTATACATAGAATCAAATTTTTTTATGTCTCTGCTGCTGACTTTAGGCACAAGACCCTCAGGTGCTGGAACAACTGTCCAAAAACATCACACGCATGGGTTTGACCAACTTCACCCTCAACTACCTCAGGGTAAGTACCTTGAGTGTGTATATTGTGTATGTTTAGGGGGTAAGGGGGGATAAATCCCGCTTTTGGTTTGTGCAATTCTGTTACTCTTTCTGCATGAAAAGGAGATATTCTTGTCTGTTTTTATACTTAGAAAAACAAAGTGACTCATAATTTCTAATGAAGTACCATGTCTAGACTTCATATTGTCATTTTATTGTGCAGAATATTCATGCTGCGTCATTTGCAATGTTCTCTTTGTCAAAAAAATATAACATGCTCTACAAATAATTTGAAATGTTCTGCTGAGAATTCTTACATTTGCTGATTTTAAAGCACAATGGTTAATTTTTTACTCTCTGATTATCTGTATCGGTAGCTGAAATATGCACTTGCTTAGCTTCTTCTATTGAAATTTAAAGCTAAAAGGTTTTCAATCTTTATTGTTTTAATTGAATGGGTACATGTAAGGAAAATAATGATAAAGTTTATAAATAAACATATTTTTCTCAGCATTTTAACATGTATTATCATGAGATAATAAGCTGGCTGATGGTATTAGTGATGATTTCAGTGGGTTTTGTTTGTGTTTTTCAACACCACAGTTGACTGACAGGTTCAATTTTCAAATGGGGGAACAAGAGGACAGAAACGGGGAGAGGAAAGAATTAATTGGATACAGAAAATTAGCATAACATTAATGAACGCTCCCTGTTGAGACTCATAATTGTGAAATGGCGCGAATCAGTATACGGCACCTTCGCAGCTTATTATAGCCGGGTGAAGAAAAACACACAGAGAAGGAGCGAGGGAGCAGGATGTTATTTTTTTGTTTTGTTTTTCTCTTAACAAAGATTTTCCATACAGAGGACAACTCCTGCATGGCTGAAAGGGAAAAACGCTGCTAATCCTAATTTAAGCATCTTTAATTACAAACTAAAGGCTTCCTTTCTGCTTCTCCAGTAATTTGGTGATTCACAAGGTCAGCACTTAAGAAATAAAATGATTTTTATGGCTTGAGTGCAAAAAATGTGTTTAGAGGTTAAGATCAGCGTAAACTGTCATAGTGTGACTCTTTCAAACCTGAAATATCCCACCAAATCAATTTGTAAGCAGTATTTCTTAGAATAAACTTTAGCACAGTTTGGAGTATTGATGAGCATTTTTTTTTTTTACTTCATTCTGTAGCCATGCAGGATTCTAAAACACTGCATTTGAAGTCTAGAATGAACTCTGACCAGTCGAGGATCAATATTTAAATAGTTTCACCACTAAATAAACAGATAATCCAAAATAACTTATCTTTAAGCACTTCTCCGTATCTTATTAAATCCATCTTGAGGTCTGACTCTTCAGGTTTGAAACCGCTGCTTTATAGTCAACGTCTCGCACACTTTGTAAGTTATGTTTTCTGTCATTCTTATCTGGGGTTGTCAGTTTAAAATATTCCCTTTCCTCAAATTAAACAAGTAATAATATGCCTTTGGAAAAAGTTTTTCCTAGCATTTATCAGTCCTTCCAAGAGAGACTGACGGCTTCCTGGCTAAAGGGGCGACAACTTGCATTCTCCCCCACTCAAACACACACATCTTTTTTTTTTCATTTGTAGTGTCTAAGCCTTCTCTCCGTGTATTGGAGCTGCTAGCTTCCTACTATTCAGCCTGAAAATAGCCCTTGTTTTTAGGCAGAGAGCCAGGGCTTGTTGGCTGAGCCGGGGAGGGATATTACTGTGTCAGGAGGGAACCATCAGAGGAGAACACTGGATTAGTCTGCCACAGGGATGCTCACTTTACCTCTAGCTGCGTCGCATCCAAACACAACCCAGCGTCCCAGTTCACAGAAAAAAAAAAAAAAGCAACACACATCGCTATGTTCATGTGGGGTAATTTGGCTTAGGCACTTGGCTTTGCTGCTGTTAGATTGACTGGTTTAAAACTTGGAGAACATTTATCGCTTCTCCATAGATTCTTAATGTTGCATAGATGCGTCCAGTCCTGTTTTATCATTAGCTGTGAGTGGACTGTACTCAATCCATACCTCCTGTAACGGATTTCTAAATTTCACCTTTTCAAGATGGGAATAACTTGTTGATTAGAACTGACATAAGAAAAGTAGGAGTGGTGGGATGCTGAAGGTCAGATGAGATCATTTGAACATGCAAGGAATGATTAACAGTCTCCTTTTCTTTCAGTAATGACTATGAGAGTGCCCTTGAGCAACTTAGTAAACCCACGCCTTCAGTCACTGCAGCAGTTTTGACCTTATATTACAGCCTGATTAGGAGACAGCAAATATGTGGACATATTAGAGTAGTTAACAGCTGCTGGAAAACTTCATTGCACAGGTCAATAAGTCTGGAAAAGTAAAGAATGTGAGTTATTTTCAGGTTTTGGATAGGAATTGAAAAAGATAATCGAGTATATACAAATGTTTGTATTTCAAGCCTTTTTTTTTCTTTCTTTCTAAAACTGTTTTCATCCTAATAGAAACATGGACCCTTATGTGTTTTTTCCTTTGTAAGTTTTTTTTTTTTGTAAAAACTGTCATTCCTATCCAAGAATTTACACCAAACTTGCATTGACTGCTGTGCAGGTATCGCAAGGAACCCCGATTTAATTCAAATCAGTGTCTACACTCTGATTGTTCCCCAGTGCAATGCGGGTGTGGTTACTGAGGCCTCCTGAAAACAGAAAATTAGACACCAAACAGGAAAAGCTACTGGAGAATTTCAGAATAAAATCAAATTACTAACTTCAGCTTGATTTTTGTTGATGCGCCCATGAGGTCAGAGTGGCCAAATGGTTCTTATAAGCTTTCACACCCTTTCAAGTGGCGCCCACAGAATTTTCACAGAGCGCTGCTACGCAGACACATCCACTTTGAAAAAACGTGGTGGATGAGCGCCAAATATATATATCTGGAGACATCTTGCAATTTAGCCCATGAATATAACCACAATCAACAGATTAACTCTTAAAAAGAAATCACTGTCACCTTTGCATGACATGAAGAGGCTCTGATAAAGTTTGAAAAGCCTCAGGTAGTGTCCGTGTGTTTCATTTTCAACGCAGAATCTAGGCATGTTAAGCATAAATCAATCTTTATACTGATCTGACCATATTTTAAAGCACAAGGAACCTGACTATTCCCGCCTTCATGTGGTATGGTAGTAAGTTAAATAACAAAAACTAACATCTAAATTGCACATGAACACCCACTGGTTTTGTAATTTATACTGGAAAACTGGGGGAAAAAATGATATCCGAGTTACGGAGAACAGGTAAACTTTGACCGTTCAACATGGCGTAGAGCAGAGAAACTATTGTCTATGGCGAGTACTAGATTCTTAAGTGTTCTCTCATGTTGTTTGTAGCCTACATAATGCTGTGACATATATTTTTAAAAAAATGTATCACCCTTTATGTGTTTTTGAAAATACCGTTATTGTTTGATTTCAACAAATTCTCACTAACAGTTAGTTGATGCATTTGATGCATCCTGTTCTTCCTGTAGCAGATGATTTAGGAAATCTAGAACTGTCTTCCCCAAGTATCAGAACAGGCTAATCTGTGCATCCATAACAGAAGCACTGGAAGACAAAATAATTTCCAATTCACAAGTGGAAAAGATCATCTTTACCATACCATGTAAAGGCAGCATAAATCATTGGTCTCTTTTCAACCATTAGTTCTACTCGCCTCTCAAAACCTTTGGTGTGAAGTTTGATGGTGCCTTTATTTTGCTAAACAGGGAAACCATGGTTAATTTCCCTCTTAAAGATCTTTAGATGTTAATCATGGCATCAATAACTACATAGCTAGATTTCTCTAACCAATTACACTGTGGATCAGTCAATAAGATATAGTCTACAGCTAGTGCAAAGTGTAGCAGCTTGTTTTCTCATTGAGACAGCAAAAACATTATCATATTTCACCTCTTGCCAGCTTGTAATGGGCTGACACCTCAATATCTGGCAGAACAGTTTCACTCTCAAATCTCAGCTAACAGGGGTCTGCTGGAAGTCCTTGGAGCTAGGTTAAAGACTGCAGGTAATGAGGCTATTTTCTGGTGACCGACCTTTGGCTTTAGTATAGCCAATAATGGAGTATCAGGTCTGCCCTAACCTTTGACACCTAAGGGGGGGAAAAAAACTGTTATTCTTCTTTTAATGCATTTTCTAAATAATTCCACCAATTCATCATGATTTCTTTAATCGTTATGCAATTAAAGGAAGGAAAAGCAACTCCAAATTCTTAGCCTGGAAAGAAAAATGGAATTTAAATGGAAAACAAACCTTGATATGGATGGTTCAGGCCACAACTTTTTCTAATATATGTAATAAAAAGCACAGCAAACCAACAACTCCTTGATCTTGACAAATTTGCTTTTATGAGTCATTTTTTAGCTGTTTAGATTCTCCTAATGGAATACAGACACTGCAGGAGAGCTTAGACACTAGTGGTAATAGCTACTGTAATGGAAAGAGTCGGCAGAGCTATGAGAAACCAACATTTCCAGTTAATAGGATACAGATTTGAAGCAAAGAGATGAAGTCAAAAGTTTGGTGAGCACATCCGCCCACAAAGTTCCCCCTCCCTAAAAACATTTTGCAGCTACTTCCAGATAATATGGAGCATAAATGTTGGTTTGTCCAAAGTTGTTTTCTACAAATGATCGTGCTGCTTTTCCTCTAGTTGAGGAAAGGAAGAAGAAAGGAGCTGATGAAGAAATAATGCTATGTTTTTCTGTTTTACCAGGTGGCTAATTTCTTTTTTCTTTGGTTAATTAAAAATAATGCAAAACATCTTTTAAAGTTATTTGATTTCCTTGACACCTCTGCTCACCTGCAGCATGATAAAAGTTGCTGAGGCTTTTAACTAACTTGTCCCTAACATATCTGGATGGTCCTGCAGCTGAACAGTGCGGCATAACCTGCTTCTAATATCCTCCAGATGTTCTGTAGTTAAGAGGATCCTGATGTATTTAAGATGACATACTGACCCCTGATTCCTCTCAAAGCAGGTCGCTAGAGATTTAGTTTTTTTTTCCAAAATGAATATTTTACTTGTGGTCTTTCAATATAAGGAAGTTATGAGACCCAACATGGAAGGGACAGACTGTTCTCTGTGGTTACTCTCCTAAAGAGGGAATATATAATATATGAGAACGTGAATGAAGTGTGACCTACAAAATATTTGGCACTGTTGCTAAAGATGTACAAAAGCTTTAACATATTTGCTTTTGAGACTTTGTGCAGTTCTCCAACAGTAAACTGTAGAGGTGTTTTGTTTTGTTTTCTTTAAACTAACTCAACATTCTAGTTTTAATGAACTCATTGCTAAAGTTGTATATTTTGAAGTCTTTCCCATTTTTATGAGTGACAGAAATAAATCTGTGTTACATTTATACCTAATTGAAACAGGGTCAATGATTATCAATAAGAATTTCCTCTGATTGATAATAAAAAAGAAAGTATGAATAATGCATTTTGGGTTCTTAAAAGGCACAATCGCAGGGAGTTCATGAACTATCTTTTCTTCATTTCAGGGGGTAGGGGGTTTAAAGGTTTACAAAAGTACCCTTATGCCATAAATCTTTTTAAATTTACTTACATACCAACAACAAAATGTGAATTATTTTGTGTGATAGACCAATATAAAGTAAACCAAGAGAGGACAGTCAAAAGGAAAGAATGCAGAGTTTTAAAAATCTTGCATATATTATGTTCTATTCCGTTCTGCTATTTAACAAGCCCCTTTTTAATCTGAAGTCCAAATAAAAACCACTTAGAACCCCTTTCTCTCAGGAGGGCACCAAATTGGTTAAGTCTACTTGTATCAGTATGAATCCAGCTTACAGGCCTGTAAGACGACATTAGAGAACAAACAGCTTTATCACAAGCAGGGAATAGAGGTCCAGCAAGGAAAGCTGACATGTTAATCAGCTATTTATCATCTCAGATGAGAAGAAGGCTATTGTTAAAAAAACAGCTAAAAGTAGATTCACCCAAAGTTTGCATGTAGAGGCTATCCCAGACATGAGAGCACCACGGTGTGATCTAAAAAAAAAAAAAAAGGCTTTTTGGCCTAAATTACAAAATGCAACATTTGTGCAAAGCTAACACAGCTGTCACTCCCTGTGGACACCATTATCCAGTAGGATGTTTACCAAAAATGATGCCAAAGCTACAGGCAAATGATTCAGATATAAGCTTAAATACAAAGTGTCCCAGTCAAAGTATTTACAGGTGAGAATCTGCGGTAAAGCTTTAAATTTAAGCACTCCATTCAGAATGATGGAGCTTTAGATAATTACCAAAAAAAGCATGGGCTACAGTATATTTATTTTTTTTGCTTTTCCAGAGGCACATTGAGCATTTCCCAAAATATATATTTGTAGAAAAAGGTGCTTCAGCAGCCTGATGTAATGTTTCAGGAGGGACGAACATATAAGTACTGCAGACTTTTTGGAGTTTTATTAATAAAAAAAAAAGCAAATTGATAGATCTGTTTAATTCCGTGGACACTCTGTTGAAAAATGTAATTAAGTTTGTGGATAAAGTGTCAAAATGTGAGAATTTAGCTATTGGAATTCTCCAAGTTCTCCAAGAAGCCCTTTGATATAGTTGATAGATATATTACTTTTTACTTAGACCTCAGTGATTAAATGAGTGATTATTTAGCAAAAAACTCATCCTTTTCTGGTTTTGGTTTACCATGAAAGAAGCAGCATCAGCAGTAAGGGACAGGTGCTGTTCTCTCATCAGTAAATCTCCTTTCACTGATGTTTGCTTTCTCTCGTTGTGTCTGCAGTTGTGCGTCATCTTGGAGCCCATGCAGGAGCTCATGTCGAGGCACAAGACCTACAACCTCAGTCCCCGCGACTGTCTCAAGACATGCTTATTCCAGAAATGGCAGAGAATGGTAGCGCCACCAGGTAACTACCTAATTTATGGTGTGTTCTTTCAATAAAACCATAGACATGGTTCCCTCAGCAAAACTCTTCAGTCAGTTTTTCTTTTTCCTTAGAATTTAATAAATAAAAATGAGCCCTAATAGGGCTGAAGTAACCAACATTATAAAAAGCTGGTTCCTTATAAAAAATGGTGAGAGGTAATTGCTCCCTCTACTGAGTTTTGAGTTTATTCTTCCATTTAAACAGCTTTTAATTTCACTCCATCCATCACTGTACAGGAATATTTTCACTCAGAGTACGTATTATTGCATCATTTATGTTTCCAAATTTGCCATCTTAATCCTAGAAATACATTTTTTTTATTTGCCTGTCAGGTATATGAAATCATCAGAATTCAGGGTTGCCTCTTGAATCTCAACCCTGCCAATCTTTAACGGGCCTCTCAGGCGCCCTTGATTGATGTTTGCAGGCTGGTTTCTGAAAAGTACCGAGCTTAAATTGGCTGTGCGGTCTTAAGCCGAAGAGGGAGTAAGCCGAGGCCTTTTTCTTTCTTTCTTTCTTTTTTTTTTTTTGGACACATTGGAGTGGCTGCAAATTACAGCAATGCTTAGCGAGGCGTGACGAGATGTCTTTAAAAACCAACACCAGTCAAAAAGCCTTTGACTCAGACCTGTGTATCTTTAATTAAGAGTGCCGGGTGTAATCAAACTCGCAGATCCAGCTCCCTGGACAGCGGCTCCCCAGTGTCGACGACATTCTTCAAAGAAGAGAAAAAAAACAGTCAGAGATGAAAAAAAAAGAAAGTATTTTATGAATATAATAAAGACTCCTGGCTATACTGATAGTTATTTGTGCTTATGGGAAAAGAGCCAAAGCAGATCTGCAAACCTCTATGCATGCAGTTTTATTTATAAGGTAAAAACAAACAAATTTTATTTTTTAATTTTAAAATTACTCCTGACACTGCTGACCCTCTAAAAAGAGGTTATTTCACTTTATTTATTCGCACGTTGACACATCTGTAACATCATCTTTTCGGTTTAGCTGAAATGAGGGTTTTCCTTATTGGTGGGGTTTTGTTCCACTTTTCCTGTGATTCTTCTCCGGCTCGGAAACAGGTTGGGATTTCAGCAGGAAGGAAGCCACAGGCGCATTTATGCTCTGATAAGTCCTTTTAGTGGAAATGGAAGCAACTTTTGTGCGTCACAGACTCAGCATCGGAGGAAACCAGTGGGATAAAACAAATGATTGTCTCCCACAATAGGAGCGCATTTTTACTTGTTTTTTTTTTTTTAACAAACACGTTTGTCCAATTTTTGAATAAAACAAGATAAGATACAGATAAGAATTCCCTTTTTTGTTTAGGCTCTGATTTGTGGAGCTACTTTTGTTTGTATTGTAAGTCTCTGATTGTTATAACTGAATATGAGAGCATCTCCCTTGGCGTGATTAGAAGGAACCTCAATAAATGTATTCCACTTTTCAGACATCTGTTTGAAGATTGCGGCAGGATTTTTCTGTCTTCTCTTGAGATTAAAAGGAATAATGCTTTCTAACATGTCGGGAGAATTTGCAAAACCTTGTATTCATAAATTATGCACTATGTTCTTTATCAAAAGCAAGTGAACGAGTGAGGGATAAAGCCTGAACTATTTACCTGTGTAACTTTGAAATACTAATTATTTTACTTGTAATGTAATTGCACATTCTACTTAATGTGTGCTGAGTTACCCAGTAATGTTATTAGCATCTGTTTAACAATCCTCTGTTGTCACATCCGATATCCTCCTCTCTGTTTAACAAACTGAGAAAAACAAAACAGATTTTTGCTCCGGTTTCAGCTGGACACCCACAGAACTTCAAAACGGAAATATTTCCCACAAATCACAAAAAAGGTATCTTCTCTCTAACAATGGGAGCTGTCCGAAAGCAGCGTTATGTTTGTTGCTCGCTTGAATGGTCTGAAATACATTTTTATGTGTGAGGTTATCACAGCTGCTCAACTGCCTGTTGACAAATGAAGTGTTGAATGTTTGTGATGATTTGTGTATAACTTGTAGTTAAAGCTGTTTAGGGGGAGTGGTGGCCTAGTGGTTAGGGCTTAGAATCCTGAGGTTGTGAGTTCGAAACCTTCTTCCACAGACCACCACTTTTGCTCTCTGAGCAAAGACCCTTAACCCCTGGTTGCCCCACGATGGCAGCCCACTACTCCCCAAAGGGAATGGGTTAAATGCAGAGGTAAATTTTTCCAATGTGAAATCATTAAAGTTAAACTATTATTATTATTAATAATTGGCAATGAACAATAAAAATAATAGGAGTTGAGCAGTGATTCTACTTATGTTTCTTGCTCTTGTTTTGCTCCTGCTTTAGAATTTGAATCAAATTGAACATCAAGGTCTATAGTTGAGCATTTGTGCTAATAACACAGGGGTTCTTTCTTATAACTGCATGTTTTAGGAGATGTTAACGCTTGTGTGGTTTCACCTCCATAGATAACAGAGCATGCATCCTTGTTTAATAGAGTGTCTTATCTGTGTAGTATGTCTGTGGGGTGTCTGTCTGCATGCTTTGCAGTGTACTAGCACTCCGAACAAGTTTGCATGATCTCACCTACACATTGTACACGCTGCACACACTCCTACACCTTGTCTCCGTCTGTATGCATTATGTTCTTGGCATGGCCTCTGTTTCTCTTTGCTGGTCGCGCCAAAGCTGAGCCTGCCCGACAGACAACGACGAAGAGGAGGAAACGGAAGAACTCAGCCAGCAGCGCCAACAGCAGTGTGGGCACAGCCGCCAGCAAGAAGCGCAGCCCCGCCACCAACTTCAGCCTCTCCAGTCAGGTACCTGTAAGCATCAGCTCCTCTCGGTTTGCCTCTTCTTTTATCTACATACAGCCATTTTGCAGTATTTTTTTTTTTCTTTAAGCATCTCAGAAAGGAGCTTTAATTGGTTTATGTAGCTGCAATTGAATGCTTGCAGGGTTTCACACAAACACCAGGATTACCTAATGGTATTTCAGTTTGTAGGATTTAAGTTATTTTTACAAATGAAAGAAAAGGCTTTAAAACTGTAAAGAAAATGAGTTAAGAGAGGAAATGAAATGAAACAAAATAGAAACGTCCAAAGCAGGAACAGGTTTTATTGAAAGGTTGCAACATTTAGGTTGCATCGTGACTAACCATTACAGATGCCTCCTAAATGTTCTCAGAAAAGCCTTCTCAGAATGTTTATTCAGACAGACCAATCAGCATTGAGACCCTGTTGCTCATCCAAGTGACCGAAGCCTTGGGCTTTAAAGAAAATAAAGAAAATCTCTGAGTCAATAGAAAAATGTGGGTGGTGAAAATAATGCTTTGCCCTCTCACAGCCACCATACTGACCAGGCCCTTGAGCAAGACACTGATCTCACCATCCCCTCACTTTTACTCAAATATTGGCGACAAGCCTGCCAACTGAAAACAAAAACATTTTATGATCATCTTTAAGCTTACAGTTTTTAAGCCTTTTCTGTCAGAAATGCAAAGAATTGTAAATCTGTAAATGTACTTTTCATCAGGAATATTAAATATTAAAGAAATGGGAAAATGTGTTTCAGAAAAGTGTTAAAAAGTGAATGCAGGTTACTATCATTACGTGGCATAAAAGTATTCAGTTTTTCATTTTCGTTCGGATAAACAAATAGAAAAATCTATTTACATCTCCATTATAAAACATCTCATACACAAAGTCAGTCAATGCACTTTGAATATAGGTAAAACAGATTTAAGACATTAAATGCATAAAAAAAAAATCATGTTACTTTAGCAAAATTACGCATTCAAGATGTTCATGTTTCTCTAAAACTGAGGTTAAGAGATTACCTCCTTTACAATCCGAAACAGTGTATGTGTTACTAAGATCAACAGTTCCCCTTTCCCAGGCCTATTTGGCACAATTTTGTTGGTATGTAACTTTTTTAAGCTTTGATCTGACAATAGCTACGTTTACATGGGCATATGCATTACACGAGGCGAGGGGGGGTGGCATCCCCCTTCTTAAAAAATCTTAAAAAATCATCTACCTTCTAAAATGAACATCCCCCCATACCTTTCCCTGTGACATTTTCTTACTGAATGTGTAAAATTTCTACTATATATTAACAGTAATGGCAATAATATTGCCCTTTCAACATTTGGTGGGCTGTGGGCTTATGAGTAGCCTGAGCAAAATAAATAAAATAAAAGAAGCGGCCTACCATGACTATGAAACTGATCCCAGTGCGAAATTTGTCCTCTGCATTTGTCCCTATGTAGGGGCAGCGATAGCCATGCCAGTCCAGGGACTGACTGCAGTTCTACTGTAAGGTGTCTTGGTCAAGTTCAATGACCGGCGAACCTGACATGTAAAAACCATACCTTGCATAATGTTTTAGGTTAATAGACTATATTAATTTTGGCTATGTGTGCTTCCAAAAAATATGAAAATAAATTCCCCCTTCCCCCTTCTTTTTTTTACAACTAGACTACTGGGCATATGTGTGATCAGAGTAAACAAGTGGTTGGACAAAAAATTTGTCATGTAAGCATGTCAGTCGGAATATTCCGATCGAATTACGAAATAAATTATAATCCAACTGAGAGGGATGCTGACTGACAAGCCAGTTAGCATGTACGCAAACACTTAACAGGATCGAGTTATTCTGAATGAGGCATCCTGGCCTAATTGAGCATATGCACCCTATGTCAATTTGACGTATATTCACTTTGGCTGGCTAATTGCTCTGGGTATCTGTTTTTATAATATGCGATAGGCAAGTCTACAAATAAAATTGCAATCTACTTATTTATCGTTTTTTTAATCAGGACATTTAAATCAGATTGTAAAATTTTGAGCTAAAGATAAAGGAAAATGTAGTTGATAAGTTTCCTTTTAGCCAAGTCTTGTATGGTTTTTTAATATAGTTCACCCACCTTACTTAATGACGTGTTGTATTTTCCCAGCTCTAGGTATAAACTTGGTATATTCTTGGATCATGCCCATGCATGTTTATCACTGTAACATTTATTTTAAAAACCATATAATTGCATTGAGATCTTTTGCTTTTTAAATGTAACTGTTTACTGACCATCTGTGGAGTTCACAGTAAACTTCTTTGTTCCATATGTTATTGTTATTGGCTGAATTACTTTTTTTGGCTAATTAACCAGGCATAAGGTGACAAAGCTACTTAATTGGAGCTTTTTCAAGTGTTTCCAAGTAAATTTTCTTCAGTGCAGACTAAGCTTCTGCATGTGATAACATGAGAGTGGTAAATAATGTTATTTTAGGGATAATGCTGAGATATATAAGTCAGTATATGTCATGCATACATTTATGAGCAGTACTTCTTGTGTGTAGTACAGTATATACTGTATGGGGTTCACCGTTCATGGTGCAGAGTCGTTTTAACATGTCCAAAGCATGGCAAAACTGTGGAAGCCTGGCTTAGCTGGAGAACAAATTGTTTTTTCTAGTGTCAAATAAGATGCCGCTGTGTTATATTTTTAACCTGGACTAAAACCATTTTCCAATGCAAACAGAAAACAAGCCAACCGTGTTATACAGTTAAAAATTATTGTTGAACTTGATCAAACTTGATTTTGTAGAAAACATTTCATTTCAAACATGCACTGTTTTTTTCTCTCTCTTGTCAAAAGAACTTGCATTTATAGTTTTAAAAGTATTCGCTTGTAGACAATACATGTTGAGAGTGCTGTACATACTTGTTTTTAAATACATACAAGGGTGTGAATGATATAAGCGGCCTTAAAACACGTATACTGTCCGTGTGAATGTCTAATAAACAGCACCTTTAGGATTCTATTAGTGCCAATTCTGCTCAGCAACTCTACTGTTTATAAAGCTAAAAGTAGAGTTACTGTTCCTTCTAACACCTTCTAACCAAGCTTGATAGGGGGACAAAAGCTGCTATTTCTACTTGTGCAATCTACGTGTGATGATTTAAGCCTTATATAACTTTAGCATTGTTTCAATTTTAAATGTCACATATTTAAAAAAAAAAAATCCCCAAAACCAAATCTGAAATCCATTAGCTTGTAGTTGTATTTTAGTTTTAAAGAAAGACGTTTCACATAAACGTGAAGAGTATTTCAAATGCTTAATGTTTGCAGAAAGGTATCATAGTATCATCTTTTCTAGGATGAACTCAGTATAACCTGCAAGGCTTAAAATGAATTTTGCAAGCATGCAACTTCATAACCTGTTTAAGACTGAAAGTGCCTGATTTGGCAACATGGCTGTAAAAAAGGTTACTAGACGTACTTAAAGGTTAAACAGCCGCCTTAACAGCTCAGTGTTTCACCACATGCCTGGCACCTCCCTGGAGGATTGGATGCCGCTGTGAGTGTGCTGTCTGCAGAGGTTATACTTTTATTCCACACAATGCTCATTATACACAGGCTGTATTACATTCACTCCCCAGCATCCAATTTACTGTTCAGTAGGCTCGTCGGCATGGCACTCTGCTGTTCTTCAACAGAGATCATTTCAGTGCACCAAAAAGTGCGCTGATTCAAAACATAAAAGGAATTTGTTTTTGTTAAGGTTTTTACTGGTTGGAAATAATGGACATTCATTTAGTCCTCTGTACTAATTCAGCTTAATGGAAAATCTAAGTGTAAGAGACTTTGTGTGCAATGTCAGCCCAGCCTCACTATAAAAATGTCTGTTTTTTGGTAGCATATATTCTAAAAAAAAAAAAAAAAAAAAAAAAAAACACATGCATGTAGGAACCATAAAAACACAAAGACTTTGGATCAGCCTGAGGTTAACTGAGCCTAATTGCAAGATACGTTGGCAACAATAGCACCTCATGGTTTTTGTTGGAAAATGTTTGAGATAGAGTAAGCAGGTGAGACATTACCGGTATTTATAAATTGAATTAGACAAAAACAACTTAAAGTATTTTTAAAAATGAGACTAGTTGGTAAAATATTGACAGTTTCCCGAACTTCCCCATTTTTTCTTACAGAAACGTCCTGTGTTTACCACTTAAATACCACACGGGAACGCTGGGAGGTTTAATTGACTGTGCCCGCATTCACAAAAGCAACTTCTTGTTTAGATTTGGTTGTAAACAGAGAGTGGATATAATGTGATTCCAGCTGGGAGACAAGAAACAGAAATTCTTAAAGAACAGCAGTAGGCTATTGATTTTTTCTTTGATATCTATTATACAATTCTGCTATTTGACAATGTATCATTGCTTAATGATTGGCTTTCATTACATACAGTTATGCCTCAGGCCAGCAAGAATCCTTGGCACAATTATTTTTTTTCTAAATTATGCCAATGATTTTTATTGTTATGATTATTATTTAACTTTTGAAAACATTAACAAAATTGTAATCTGTATTCAATAAAAGTAGGGCTGGTTTTGGAGATGATATTGACATATACATGACCTGGTCCTTTGATGCAAGAGTCAAACTGATTTAAAAAATGACTTCTTGTTTATTATTTTCTTGTTCTTTTAACTGGACAATAGAGTTCACCACCCCAGGTTACTTTCTCACATTTTTGAACTGACCGTGTAGATTTACTGTAAAGTCCAGGCCTGTCTCTCTTTTTTCTATTCTTTTACCTGCTTGCCTTCGTCTTACCCATACATAATGTACATCTCATGCACATATACACACAGTGCTCGCAAATTGTTTTCTCTTTGGGAGGTAGCGTGGCTCTGTGCCAGCTCTCATTATCACAGATATCTGTATACACCCCCACCCCCCCCTTCCCTCCTTCACATGCTCCGTCTTTGCTCCATCATTGAACCCCCAGCACCACCACCACCACACCTCCAACCCAAGCC